TTAAATGCTCCCTTTAAGCATTTCAGTACCCACCCCTTCTCCTCTCTGAGCACCTTCAGCGCAAAATAGCCGGGGAGAGAGTCTGAAACTGCAAAGATGGGAAAGGTGACCACTTCCCAAGGTGGTCCCACTTTACAGTTCCTTTTTTCCTCCCTCCCGTTTCTTCCAAGGCGTCTCTGACAATGCTATGGAGTCACCTACCGCTCTTTTCTTTTTTAATTGAGGGCACCCCTGCCTGACATCTTTCCACGGCGGTCCCGGTGTAAGGTGCAGCCACCTAAAGAAAAAAAAATTGCATTTTCTGTCCGTGAGAAAGGACCAGAAACACCCCCTCCCTGACACTGCCGAAGCCATAGAAAGGTGGGGACCCTGACTACTCTCGCTAGACCAGTTTTGATGGTCACTAGGGTGCAAGAGCTGGTGTGTGGAGGAGGGTGGTGAAGGTATTCCGAAGAAGGCATGAGGAGGGATGTCAGGATCTCTTCTCTTGCATCCATGTAGTCTCCAGTGGAAATACAAAGACACCACATGTAATGGGCCCAATCAGTTTATAAAAGTAATTGCGACAAAAGACAACAATTAGTAAAAATGGAGAAAAAAATCAATTTTTCAGGAGGAAATTATATCTCCTCGCCTTTTTATTAGCCCAAATTTTGTATAATCAGGACTATGTGAGTAATGTTTCAAAGCTGGAGTGTCTGGCTGACATAAGATTACTGTTAGTAATTTTAATGATGGCTGTATAATCCATCATTGGATATACAATAATAACCGCCTCTCATTCAGAACCCTCCACCAAACTTGAAGCAACGGGTCAAATCCAAAACTACAGGTGTAAAATATCCTCAGTTGTTAAACAGAAGGAAGAAAGGGGGAAGAGCAGGTGGGGAGAGGCTCCTTAGAGAAGAAGCGGGTTGGTGGCTGTAAGCTATGCTATTATATTGTTTAGGAAGGTATTTGCTGTATATGACGTTTAAGGTGGATCATACCGCCGCTAGATTAAACAAAGCCCAGACCAAAGCCCATGTCGACCATGGTCGACCCCAGTGAGGAGCGAGATGCGTATGTCTGCGTGTCAGAGACCCTGCAGTAGCCCGAATGCATGTGCGTGTGTGTGCCAGGAGTCAACCTAGACTCCATCCCGTTCAGCGAGGGCTGATTAGCATTTCCCGGCAGCCGTGTACCAGCGCTGACAACTAACAGAGATATCCAGCTCACCATTAGGCCTTCTTCTTTTGTCTGCAAACTGCCGGCAGCAGCCCAGACCCCCACGCATCCGCTGCCCGCACCGCTGCAGCGTGCAGCCCTGCGTGCAGCGCTCCGTGCTCTGTATCCGGCCACAAGCTGCCACCCCACCTGCCGCTGCCTGCGGCCAACCTCTCCGTTCACCTTCGCACAAGTTTATATATATATATAATTTTTCCTTCCCTTCCTTCCCCTTAGGATGTTGAAGTGGGGGGTGCTGCTTCCCGCGGCCCCTAGGATCCCTATTCCCCTCAGGGTTCACAGCAAGTCAGGGCTGCTCTTTTTCCCCTTGTTTTCTCACTTTTCCTCCATCTGCACTGCGGGATCGGGTGCGCCAGTGGCTTCCTTCAACAAACACACGAGTCGCCCTACTTGCTGTCCTTTTGTCTTTCCCCCACCTGGGGTTCTTTTTGAGAGGTGAGATATCCGTTGAAACGCTTAACCAGTTCCACGCAAAGAGCCAATAAAGAAGGAGTTGGGATTTAAATTCACAGGCCACTAAAGCGCTTTAAGCTCCCAGTTTTGAGCCAAACTGCATTTCTTAGCGTCTGGAGAGCCACATCAACTTCCAGCAAGTAGCTGAGACTCCCTGAAGTGATAAAAAAAAAAATAGCAGGTACTTTTTTCCCCCCTGAGAGCCACACAAATTGGTCCATGTTGACAGATGTTTGTAACTTAGTAACTTCTTGAAGTTTTTTCTTTTATTTCCCCCCTCCCCTCCTCTAAGCCTTCTTCCGAGCTTGCTTTGTTGTTTTAAAATATGCATGTCTCTCAGGAATGCAAGTCACGAGTCCAAACTTCGTGTCCAACCTCCCACAAGAAATGATCCTTTTATAGGGAACCCGATATGTCTCAATCTGCACTTCACTCAAAGCCTCTGGATATAGGGCACTGGTCTCTGCACAAAAATAACTCCGCTGAAACATATTTCCACCTAAAAAACATGAATGACTCCCAGGGAAGAAATGTATCTCCCATAATTAAAAGCGGCAGAGCTCTGAGGGGAATGAAGCCTGGAGGAAAAGAAGAGGAAGAGGGAAAACGAAAAAAAAAAAAAAAAAAAGGAGGTGTGTGGGGAAGCAGAGAACGAGAGAGATTTTTTATTTCTGTGTTTGTTGCATCGGGCCGAGATTAGCAGCAGGTTTATCCAAGACGAGCCCCTATGGCAGCTTCGGGTGCGTGGGGAGAACGCGACAGCTCATGAGGAGCAGAGAAGAGGAGAGATTAAGGAACAGAGCCTAACTCCGAGAAAAGAGTAAGTGACCCTCAGTACAATGCAGGAGCCAGGGGAGTGCCGAGCTTTGAATCGGCAGCCAAAGTTGGGTTGCGAGCGCGAACAATGGCATCGGAATGGGGGGGGGAAGGGAAGACCCAGGCCCAGGGGGGCGGGCAGGGGCCAGACACCCGTGTGTGAGTGCGCCTCGACCTCCGGTCCCTTCCCTGCGGGGAGCCCGGGTGGCAGCGGGGATGGGGACGAGGGCGCGGATGGGACGAGAGTGAGGATAGGGATGGGGCCTGCCCCGGTTTATGTAGGGGATAAAAAGAATGGGGGGGGGGGGGGGGGAGGGGGGGGGAAAGGGCAGAAAGGGAGAGGGAAGAAGGGTGGGAGGGAAGCGAGCAAAACTTCCCAAGTGATGAGAAACAGATGATCTCCTGGCTGGGTCACGTTTGTTCCTCGGTCCTGATGCGAAGTGACGTCAGCAGTTGCATACCCTATCGTCGTCAGATCGAGCAGGACGGGGAGAGGCCTTTCCTCTGCCTTCCTTGCCTCCTCCGCTCTCTGTCGGGACAAACTTCCATCAGGATTATGCAAAATCATGCCCTAAGATCTCCCGGCCGATGCGACACCTTTCCCTCCGTGTGCCACGCCATCCACGCATCCAGCATATGAAAAGCTCGGCAGGCCCCTGAGCCTATAGGATCTGGTACCACATTAGTTTCCAGCAATATTTACAGCACTGCTTTTAATACGCACCAGATGGTTTGCGACGATGCTGCCCCAGCCAGTGAGATCTTTGTTTTTTATTCAGCAGCATTTTGTTACAATTGTACGCCATGCTGAGACCAATTTTATTGGAGACTTTTATTTTTTCCCGTATCTGTGATACTTTATATGACAAAAAAAACCCAAACCCAACTTCTCTGCAGTCTCTTGGCACAGAGGCTGGGTGGACAGGAAGGCAGGGGCAGTGGCAGACAGCTCTCCTCATTCTCAATAACGAGATGCTCCTATGTGTGCACAGATAAATAATACATATGCATATTTATTCATTATATTTGACCAATAACGCTCATATTTGTTAAACCTCAAATGAGTGCACTCGCCTGCATGATGACAAACATCACAGGGCAATAAATATTGCATACAGTTAATTATTATGCCTTGTTCTTCTTATGTACTCAGACCGCTTGTAAAGCTCCTTGCAAACACAAACGTCTATCACGGATATTTCGCTTGAAAAGGGAAAAAATCAGTCCCTTGAAGTCTCTGGTAATTCTTAAATATTGACAGGAGGAAACTGTGGCTAATAGATTCCTGCGAGGTAAACACTCTGCTTTTAAGAGAGGAGAGAGAGGGAGAGAGCGCAATCCTTGTCTAGAAAACATTCCAGGGCTTTTATTTCACTGCCTGGGATATGTTATCATCCAGGGTCGCGTTCATTTTTCTCCTGGAATTCCGAGACCTTTTCTCTCTCTCTCTCTCTCTCTCTCTCTCTCTCTCTCTCTCTTTTTTTTTTTTTTTTTTTTTTTTTTTTTTACTCTACGGCAGAGATCCTGGTTTCATCGTGACCGTGTAAATAAAATAGCCGATTTAGTCCTTTGCAGGTGTGTTTCCCTCTACACGAACGCTTTCCCTGCTTTTATAGGAACTCACATTTATTTCCTGTCCTGCCAAAATCACAGATGTTTATTTTATTGACGTAGCCTATACCTTGGTTGTGCCAGGAATAATATGTCTCTACTAAAAATCATTTAGCAAATAATCGAGGCGTTCTAGATGCTTTCCAATTTACATATGTACTTGGTCATAAAGTGATATGTAAAAAAATTAACATCTGCCTTCCTAAAATAAAGTGTTACAAGTAGCTTTTTAAGAATGCTTCCCTCATTTTAAAAATAAATAGGTAGAGATAAACTGAAGTCCATATGTATAGTATATTTACAATGGGTTTAAGATTTGAAGGTAGCCATTCATTGAATAAGTAATTCAGAACTGACGTTTTAAAAGCTACTTAACCTCAGGCATTCTTGAATCTTAAAGGATTTCCAACGATATTGCTGTCATTTAATTGCATATCAATACGGAAATGTGCACAGGCACGGCCTCGGATGCTGTGCTTAAAAATATGATGTTCCAACTCAGATTTTATTCTCCCACGTCCTCAACACGTCTTTCTCTTCTCTTCAGACCAGATGCCCAGAAGGTGCGATCTCTTTCCTTCCTCAGCTTCCACCTTTGTCTAGGGAATGCAGCCGGTGCTTCCCGGCGATCCTCACACACGGGCTATTTTACCAAGCTTTGTCCTTCGTATGGAGAGGGGGATCGGGATCTGCAAGCACCCACGCCTCTTTACTCTATCTGCAATAGAAGGCCAGAGCCATTGCCAGATGAGCCGGGGTGTGTCACAAATGTTCTCTGCACCCAAAAAGAACCTCTACTGTTTCCCCCCTGGAAAGGGCTTCGAGGTGCTTCCACTCTCCTTGCATCCTCAAAACTGAGATGACAAAACCTATCAAGTCTGGGGACGGGCGGTCACACTATAAGGCGACCCCCAGCCGGGGCAGACGGACTGGAGGGGAGGCGCACCTCTGGGTGTGCAGCTACACCTCGGGACTGAACCCGCACGGGCTTAAGACACGATGAGAGCAACATCAAAACCCAGTCCACTCTACCCCTGACACAGGTCTTGCTGGGGAAACTTCTAAGTGGCTCCCAAGTCCCGTGTCCTACCCTAGGCTGCCTCAGAAGCCAGTTTTGGTAGGGGACGAGGTGTGGTTTCTGCACTCCCCAAAGGGTCTCTGTACCCGTTTCCACATGCCCGTGTGCGTGGCGGGGCAGAGCAGGCAGGCCTGTCCCATGGGTGTTAAGGAAACAGCCCTTTTCTGAGTCCCAGGGTGCTTTTAAAATTTTCTCTCCTAACCCTCCCACCCAAACCCTTCCCCTTTTCTGTCCTTTTTCTCCCCTTTCTACCCCCAGAGCCCGACCAGAAAGTCACTGCTAACACCGGCAGGGGAGTTTCCAGTCATCTGCAGAGATCCTCTGCTGTCTGCTTTAGTGAGTTGATTAGGTCTCTTTGCTACCGAGGGAAATGTGGACGTAAGGATCAGCAGGGAAAAGAATAGTATAATTTCTGCAGGAAAAAAAAAAATACAGCACCAAACCACCCATAACCCTAACTATTTGCAAAAAAATATTTAAATACGTTAAATGACCCAGAGTTTGAGTTTATGCGGAGTCAGTGGACAGACTGTGGACAGAGACATAGAGAAGAGTCACGCCTTTAAGACAGGAGGTCTTTATTTGTAGATGGTGTATTTACGGGAAAAGAAAGGGAGTTTCTTACAAAGGTCTAACTCTATCGTCCATAACAAAACCTGTCACGTCTTTACTTAGTGCTAAAAAAGAGTGTGTCCTAATTTGAACATCTCTAAAGTGATTATTAGATGCTTCTCTGATACATCAGAGTGTGAGAATGTGAGAGTGAATCTAGAACACAACCGAAAAACCGAAAGAGGAAAGAGAAAAGGGAAAGAGAAAAGGGAAAGAGAAAAGGGAAAGGGAAAGGGAAAGGGAAAGAAGAGGAGGGGAGGGGAGTAGAGTAGAGGAAGGGAAGGGAAGGGAAGGGAAGGGAAGGGAAGGGAAGGGAAGGGAAGGGAAGGGAAGGGAAGGGAAGGGAAGGGAAAGGAAAGGAAAGGAAAGGAAAGGAAAGGAAAGGAAAGGAAAGGAAAGGAAAGGAAAGGAAAGGAAAGGAAAGGAAAGGAAAGGAAAGGAAAGGAAAGGAAAGGAAAGGAAAGGAAAGGAAAGGAAAGGAAAGGAAAGGAAAGGAAAGGAAAGGAAAGGAAAGGAAAGGAAAGGAAAGGAAAGGAAAAGGAAAGGAAAGGAAAGGAAAGGAAAGGAAAGGAAAGGAAAGGAAAGGAAAGGAAAGGAAAGGAAAGGAAAGGAAAGGAAAGGAAAGGAAAGGAAAGGAAAGGAAAGGAAAGGAAAGGAAAGGAAAGGAAAGGATTTGTTTACACTCTGTCGATGTCTTATTTTGCTTTCCTAATTTCAGCATTTCCTAATGCTGCTGGAGTATCCCTCTGTCTGCACTCTCAGTGAAGGAGCTTTCGTTAGTGCAAACAACCCCTGCTTTAAAATACTAGATTAGCACCAGGTGGGGGGGGGGGGGGGGAAGGGGGGGGAAGGGGTGGTTAGAAGGAAAGAATGAGAAATACAGTACACAGGTTTTTAAAAATACTATTTTTGACCCAACTCCAAGATGTCAAAACTTTTTTTTTTTTTTCCCATGAGTGTGAAATGAACACAGTGTATCAGTGAAAAGAATAAGTGGCCTTTTAATGACTACCAAAGAAAACCGAAATGTACCGCAAAAGCTGCTTCAAAGCACAATCTAATTCCACTGAGTTCAGACATCAGATATATTTGGTGATTGGGAGCTGCACAGAAGTAAGGCAGCATGGTATGGATAATCTTGTATTTCTTCCCTTCAATAACTGTAAGATAACATTTCACGGACTTTATTAGTGCAAAACCGTGGTTTACTAGAGATCTCTTACTCCTGTGAATGAACGAAGACTCAGTCTTCACCATAAAAAAAACCAAACCAAACCAAACCAAACCAAACCAAACCAAACCCAAACAAAAACCAACCAACCAACCAAAAAACCCCACAAAAAGTCACAAAAAAACCCACAAAAAACCAAAACCAAATCAAACCAGAAAGAAAAAACAACCCCAAGCAAACTACCTGCGCACTTCAAGCTACAAAGGTTTTTCCTTTTTCTAATTGTGATCCTGGCTGCATATGGACTCTAGATAATAACATCTACTAGATGTTGCTTCTTTTATTGATAATTGCTTCTGTGGCTGGCTGTTATTTTTGTGTATATTTTCTGACCTTGGGTTTTGTTGTATCACAAAAGTCTCCACAAGTAGCAGAACGATAAATTCAACCAAAAACCAGACAGATTTTCTCATCGATGTGTAACAAAATTAAAGGGCATTGTTTTGTCAGATGAGCACCAAGTCGGAAATAA